AAAGTCTATTGGAATGAAGAGATTTCATCTTCAAGAATTTGTAATCTTTCTTCTAATGACTACTTTCTAAAATTTAAATTTTTAACAACTTTTGTCATAGTTTCACAACTATCACAAAGTTGTATTGAAGATGAAGATGACGCTTGAGAACAAGAGGGTTGCATAGTCTATCTAACTCTTCAGATATATAAAAGTTAAATCCTATCATTTCTCTACTAAAAATTAGAAGTTCTTATAATGTGTAAAATCAAAAAGGGGTCTAGAAATCTTTCTACTTGTTACAATACTTCTGGCCAATAATTATAAGGGTGTTAGGGATTAAAATTAGGTTTTTTTTTTTAATTGTCATAGAAGTTTTTGAAATGTGTGATTGAAAAGATGTAGGACCCGTGAAATATGTGATTAATATTGATTGTCAGACTTTGACTTAAATTAAAATCATATTTTAATTCGGCCCAAATAGGCCCTACATATACCAGGCTTTCTACCTTTAACTACTGCAAAGAAACTAAAATTTACGCTTTCTACTTGATTATGAATCTGTCTAAAATGATTAGGTAATGCATTAATGCTGTCTAATTTTTGTTTAGAGTCTCGTGCCATCCAAAGATTATCTAGTAGATGACGCTCCATTTCTGATAGTCTTTCTAAATGAGATTAGATCCTTGTGGGGCCACTCTTAGAGTGACATTCCCAAAGTTCATCATTCTTTGATCTATCTGTATCATGAAAATAATGGGTTAAAAAATTAATAACTTGTCTACTTAAATTATCAGCCAAAATATTATTTTTTCCGTCTATATGTTCTATATTAATTTTATAATATCTCATATAATTTTAACAATTGTTTATGTCTTATTTGATCAAAATTTGTCTTTTTAATAAATTTTACTATAGTCTCACAGTCTGTTCTAAATGTGAATTCGGTATTTAAAAATAATTTAAAACTTTTTATACTATGTATGATGGCCATTATTTCATAATCCAAACTGTCAAGTATTTTTCTTTGGGAAGATTACCTATTCAAGAGAATAAGTTTAGCTTATTTCAAAAATAAGAAAACAAGTTTGAAATTTCCAAAATCAGATTTTTATTGAAAAATTTTAAATTTTTATTTATGAAATAATAAATTATTAAATTAATTTATTATTAAATATTTAATTATAATATAATATAATTAACTCATCCCACCTTCACTACCCCTACCGCTCCGGCGACAATTTCGATCACCGCCCTACTCCGGCGAACTTTCCAACGACTGTTCCGGCTACTACTCCGATTCCGGTGACCGTTCCGGCGACGATTTTTTTAGTCGACTGCTCCGATTCCGGCAGTTGTTCGAACTCCGACGAATATTCCGGTGACAATTCCGCTATATTTTTTTTGTACGGTTGACATGTTTTTTTTTATGGTCACAACCCAGGTCACAAGTCACAGCCCATGTCACAAGTCATAGTTTAGGTCACAAGTCACAAGTCAAGAGTCACAGCCCAGGTAACAAGTCACAGATCAGGTCACAAGTCACAAATCAACCGCCGGTACGGCGGTACCCTACTCAACCACTACATCCACTGACGAATTCCACAAATCGTTCCACCAAGCGCTGTCCACCCACACGCATCGTTAGATCCACAACTACTAAATCCAAACAAAAATCACCGCAACCGCTAGATTCACCACCAACGTCGACAACAAAAACCATAGCCTCTACCATATCAAAACTATCACAACTACCTCCCCAAACACACCAAAATCGCCAGCATCCTACACCACCGCCTGCACCTCCAGCATCACACCCCCACCACCACCACCACCATCGCCACCACAACCACCACTAACTCACTAGACCGCCACATCACAACCACTGTCGCCACCAGTTAGAGGAGATTGGTAATGAATTTTCGGGGTTAGATTCAATAGGAAATAGAGTTACTTGAATGGCAAACTCCTTGCTAAAAGCTCAACTTTCTAGGGAGAGGATATTAAGGTGTTGGGGCAATAGTGGAAGCTTGTACTAATGGATGAACAATCGAAGACGTGAAGGACAAAATCGGGAAGATATTATAGGTTTGAGTGCCCAGTGGCGAATTGAACGACCGGAGCAGCGTCTGATGCTGCAGCAGAAGGGAAGGGATGGAGGGGGAGGAGAACGAGAGGAGATGAACGATGGAGGGGTAGAGAGAAAGCAAATAAAAATTTTTTTGGGAATGAATTACGGTAGTAAAAATATTTATTTTATAAAAATATTAATTAAAATAAAAAAATCTGATTTTGGAAATATTAAACTTCCATTCTGATTTTAGAAAGTTTAATAATTAAAGTATGGTTATGTGTAATTACCACTTTTTCTTTTATCTTATATTTTTCATTAGCATATCTACAAATCTTTTCTTCCTTTTTATCGCTGCATTTATTTGGTTTGGAATATAAAATTTCTCCCCATCCTAGTTCACATCCATCTATTTCTATTATTTTATATTCGCTATCTAATGGTAATTCTAATGGTGGTAAAGTTTTAACTTCTTTTATTTTTCTAACTAATTCTATATCCGACTGATTAAAATATTTTTGTCATTTACTAGATATGATATTATACAGTAGTCCTACTTTCTTTTCTAAATTTTTAATAAAATGTCTAGCATAATTTAAAATTTCTAAAAAGGCTTGTAATTTTTTAGTTTCTTCTATATTGTATGGAAACTGTAAAATTGTTTGTACTATATGTGATTGCAACTGAATTTTTCCTTCTCCTAGAATTATTCCTAAAAATTCAATTTTTTGTTTATTTATTTCCATTTTCCTAAGAATTTATTTAGAACTATTTCTAAATGTTGCATATGTTCTTTCTGATTTTTACTATGTACCAAGATATCATCTATATACACGCAAATAAATGGAAAATAATTAAAAATACTGTCCATCTTTCTTTGAAATCTAATGCGGATAATATGTGGCTTTCTACAATAACTAATTTACCTATTTCTCAAGTTTCTAGATAGATGTTAATCAATTCTTTAAAACTTTCTAAAGAACAATAAAACAATTTACACTCGTCTAATGGCATAAAATATAGCGCATAAAATTTACAGAATTAAACAACGATATGTTTGTAATGGCCTTAGAATACTTTACCGTTCAGCAAATTAATTTTTTCAAATACTTTTTTTAACTCTCTCAGCTTTTTTTCTTGACCTTCTAAAAAGCCTTAACACTATAACCAAAAATGATTTTCATCAATCTTTAAAATGTTTGAACAAACTCACTTAATAAGTAAAATAGCCAAATTAACTTAGAGGATTACTTTATCCTTTTGGTCATGTAATCCAGAATAAAGAGGTTAAAAGCATTATGATTATTTGAAAAATAAAATATAATTTAATTTATTGAATAAATTAATTACTTACTTGATGTTTTCCCTTTTAGGCCTTGCTTGAAAATTAAATAAAGTAAACGAAAATTATAAACAAGAGAATATTTCTGAAATCTTCAAATCTACAAGAACTGAATTTATAAGGATGTCTTTGAGTTTTGAGTGCAAGTGTTATAGTGTGCTATGTTGTTATTTTTTCTCGATGTGTCTTCTTTGTGTGAGGGATATTGATATTTATAGACGTTGGTACATCGCATCTTTTCAACTGTGTTAAAAAAAAATATTGTATCATTTTACAGGTGTATGGTATGCAATCAAAGAATTAAATGTCTCTTTACACTTGTGAGAAAACTTTATCTTCTGGCTGTATCTTTTTGACTTCTTTGGCATGATAATCGTCTTTCGAAGACTATTCATCTGGCTTTTGCTTTTCTTCACTTTTTTCTCTCTGTTGCTTTTCTTTTTTTCTTTAATTGTCTGTCTGTCCATCATCTCTATGTAAGCTTCTTATAGGTCTTCATTCATTTAATTATTTTGGCCATCTGATATGTATTCTTCTTCTTCTGTGTCTAATTATCTTTCTTTTGATTCGTCATTTATTTCTTGAAAAGTCATCAAATATAGCTGCTTTTGTTCAATATCAGGTGTTTGAATTTTTTCTGTTTTAACTCTTAAGGCAAGATAAATATACCCAAACGTGAACTAATAAAAGATTCTTGAAATTGCAGAGGAACAAAATTTGCACCTAAAATGTCATGATAGTGTATGCAGAAACATACACAGGCATCAGTAAACAAAACTTAGAGAAAGGGGGCAGAAAAAGAGAGTGCCTTTGGGATTTGAAGGGTTCAAGTGTCTTTGGAGATTATCAATTCTCGATAGAGCTGAAGACGCCATTAATGGGCCTTTAACTGCCGCAAAGGAGAATTTGATTCTTGAAACTGAAGGAGAAGAAAAAACTTACAGAGTGACTTGTCTCGAGTGCCCATCAAACAATCCCTCGTCCAAGGGTTGGATTTTTGGAATAGGCTCTTTTTTTGCCTTAAGAGTGAAGGATTGACATAACCTTTGTTGTCTCATCACTACGTTCACCGTTCTACCTAATTCCAAGACACTAACACTTAGACTTTATAATACAATTTCTGAGTTGCAGTTGACACCCCCAAGTGCTGGATAGTTTTGTCCTGAATTCCTGCGCTCTTGTAGCCAAAATTGTCCGAACTTGTTCCTGTATCAAGCCTACAACAAAAATTACATGTAACTGTCATCATTTGCCTTCTGTGTGGCCTGATTTCCACTGAATCCAAGTATTGAAATCGGATGAACAAGAAGTTTACACTTTTGACAATCATCATCAATCCATCAATCAATGTCAATATGACTAGTGTCCTCAAATACTGCTTCTTGATACTGTTATCAAGTAAATTAGGCATCCGTGCTTAGATCACTTGCTCATCACAAAATTCGCATGTTGCCTTGATTACCAAATCCGCGTTAAATATCAAGTATTGTGCACGATTTGACCATTGCAGGGAAATGACAGATGTTACGTCCGCACTATATCAAAATTCCCGAAAATGATTCTCACACTAGTCCACTAGTAAAGATCGATCATCCTGTGTGAATTGTGATGCATAGTCTAGTTCTCGAGTTGATCAAATATTGTGCAAGGTAAATGTCATCAATCTAACCATCAAGTTCGATACTTTCACAAAACACGATTTATTAATGTGATTTATGCTCTCTCCTACGATCAAGTAACCATACCATATTGCCATCAAAGTGTTTGTCAAAGTGAGTTTGATATATAACCTTATCTTTCAACCATACGAGTCATCAAATCATTACGATTTTTTTTCAATTTTTTGAACTCTGAGCCAACTCTTTGATTTCAATTTCTCGAGTTTCCAATTTTTAGAGAAAGCATTTAACACATGTATTTAAAATTTGAAATATCCAAATCGTCTCTTTCTCAATAGATTCTATTTTTTAGTATTTGTAATTTTCCATATATTCTCTCTTTGTAGACTGTCCCGAAGGTGGAAATTACACTACATAACCCCTTTTAATTACATTAGTCAGAGTTGAACGTGTATTGCACGTTGTTCTGAAATACTTTATAAGTGCTGTAAAAATAATATTTGATACCAATTTGTTAGGATGATTTGACGGTCTCAAATTAACTGCAGAAAATAAAATTTAGGATAGAAATTTAAGAGAAGAAAATTGTACTATCAAAACTGAACTTCTATGATTCAATTTTTTGTGATAATGAAATACTACAATTGAGCAACCTTTTATATTATATTTGGTACATAAGAATTAATTGCTAATACATAAATTTAAACACCCATTAAAATTCCTAGATACATTAAGATAAATAAATTTATTTATAATAACTCTAAATTCATGTAGATCAAGATTTTTCAAGTTAAGATTCATTGAGTCTTGATTAATATAAATGTTAGTTAATTGAGAATTAATAAGACGAAATACAAGAATTTTGTAGTATTTATTACATATTGAAAAACGAAAAGTAAGGTATTAGTAAAATAATTGAATTGTAGTAAGATTAAAATTGTTCGAAAAATTATTCTTACTTGATGTGATGTTTAATATAATATATATTATAGATATTCACATTTTACTAATTCAATATTATAAATCCTAATTATACTGCAATATAATAGTAAAGTTGAAAAAGTTAAAAATATCTTCACTCCTAAATGATAGTCAGAGTCAATCAATTTACTAATGGAATCACTAGCTTTTTCTCACCCAAACAACACAATCCACTCACCAAAATATCGCACACAATCAATTCCACCACCAATGCTCCAAAAATCCCCAATTTTTAGTTCGTTCACTGCCAAACATGAGGATTCAACGAAATTGAAACCCACGGAATTTTCATTCCATCGCAAGAAATTGAAACCCTCGGATAATAAAAATATGTGCTCGAGGAGAACTAAGAAATTCCATGTACAATGTACATAGCAGAAAATGGCATAGTTTCAATCAATTACTTAAGCAAGTTATCTAGCTTATTGTAATATTCTATCTGATAACCCAAATATCAAAGTTTACACGTTCTGAATCAAATACCAATAATTATTCGTAAAAAATTACATATAGCAAAAAAACACTTCGAGGTCTAAATACAAAACTTCAAAAGGTTTGCACTCATTCTGCATCTCAACGAAATGTTGAGTGACGTAAACATGGAATTTTTATTCAAGGGAATCTCATTTACGTTTCCGTACTTGAATCCATGGAAGAGGCTTCTTACATGTTCTTGTGTTGTGTCATTTGGGCACTGGAGTGTTCACACTTAGTTGGATGAAATATATCGATATCTTGTGGGTTCTGAAAACTTTTAATGATTCCATATCTGCATCCACATAAATATATCAAGTCACGGTTGTTGTTTTTGCATTAAATTAAATCGTAATTACTATCACTCATTATTGGGGTGACCTATTAACTAGCAAATGATGCATCGTCACAGCTAGACTTCCATATGCAACAAAGTAAGACAAGCGAGTTCGGAATTGAAACACATGCAAATCACATTGATACAAACCCATGTTTTGGTAGGCTTTCAACATCCATTTGCACCAATCTATTGGATATAGATCCATCAAATTATTACACAATGTCATAGTTAACAAAATAATATCCATGTATTAATCTAACGATAGAAAGCAATGTTGGTTGTGGCCATCTACAATATCCACTCTTAATATACATTCTTGGAATGAAAGATTCATTAATTTTGTCAAACAATCAAAAACTTCCACTAATATGGGGAAATTTCTGCATAAGAAAGGTGTAAAATTAATAACATAATATCGTGAACAATTTTTTTAGCGCATTTCAATGATGATCATACAGGAGATCAGATGCACACTAATATATAAAATTCACTTGAAGTAAATTTTTACGTAACAACGAATTGAGAAATTAAGTATAAACCCAATACCAAAATACGATCAATCTTCAAAAAGGGATTTCGGGGATGTATATTTGTATTAACAAATCAAGAAATACCTGTCGTCGTAAAGGATTGTAGATTTTCAAGGTAGAGAACCAATGGTGACTGATTTATGATTCAAAGTGGGTATATGCGATTTTTTCCCCTCTCGAAAACACGATCCTTTCTTGCCTCAGCTTTGGTAACACATCCACAAAGAACCCATCTCGAAGTGTTAAAATGGCCTTTTTGTAGATTCTTCAATCTATTTATTCCTCCCGGGCCCAACCCGGTCCGACCCACTGGAAAATACACTATCTAACACGCAACCGGCAAAATAAAAATCCGGGCGCCATCTTCGATTAATCGATTTCTATATCCTAAACGCCTTCGCCGTAGGCGCACTTTAGCGCATCCCGCAGTTAAAAACTCTGATCATCTTTCTAAGCGGCGTCGTTTAAGCCCCATAATTCCCGCCGCCGGCTAATCACTTCCCGCCGGTCTCCGGCGTGCTCACTATTGTTAACCTGCGCCCTCATTCTAATTTACCAAAGCACCATCGCCCAAATTCCAGGATTCTCCTTCGCTTTTTAAACTTAATAAAAGGTTAGATTTCTGAGATGGGAGTTTAATTGTTAGTCCTCTGTTTTAATCACTTTGCCGTTTTCACTTGAATTGAACTCGGCTTTTTAAACTGGTTTCTTTTGTAAGTTTGCTTAGTGGGTTCTGAGTCGAGTATACGATCCAGATGTTTTGCTGCTAAATTTTATGATTTTCGGAATTAGATTTTAACGGGCAGCATGTAGTTGTGTATGTCTAAAACTTTTTTGAATTCTTTATTGTTTGGAATTGGATTATCTTTTTGAGTTTATTTAAATTGCTGAATGCTGTTTCATTTGATTTCATTCCAGAGCTTATTCGGAGGGATTTTTTCGAGAATTTATACGGACCCCTTTTTGCCTTCTATTGGTTCGTTGCGTTACTGCTTTCTACGTGAGGCAATTCAAACAAGAATTCCATGTGAAGTAAAGGCATGGCTTGTTTTAGGAATTTTTTAAATGGAACCCCGGAGCAGAGTGCATTGGACGAGACAAAAGATTCACAAAAGGTGAGTATGAATAGCTGCAGAACACATGGGAATGCCACTTCGACTAATAATAATGGAGAAGACTGCGATAATATTAGGCTGGATAACACAGAGCAGCATTCCGCGGGGAGAACAGCTGTAGCTGGGAAATGGGGTTCGAGTTTATGGAAGGATCTACTGCCCATGGATTCTCGTGGAAGGTCTGAGCCCAGGGAGGAGTCTAAGAATGGTTCTGAATATAAAGGGTCTGAAGCAGAGGAGGATTCTGATGGTGCAGAGGATAAGGTAGAATCTGAGAATGATGACATTAGGCTGAAAGAAGTGTTTGGCGAGGGTGTTCATGCTGACGAAATGTTGTCTGACGAGTATTATGAGCAGGATGGTGGTGATCAGAGCGAGTCACTGAATCATCATCGAGTGCAACACTCAATTGGGTTTAGTTCAAAGCCACCCCATAGGCCTGTCGCTCGCATCAATAATTTAAGGAAGTCGAAGGGTACAAAAGCTGACCAATATGATGAAGAAGATACTGATTACGAGGATGATGACGAAGATGGTAATTGCTGTATTCTTCTATTCCTAAATTATATTCTGAAAATTGCAATTTTGTTCTATTAGATTTCATTTAAAAGACCTGTTTGTTATTTAATGCGGCAATATAAAATTGATATTTTGCATGCTTGCAGAGGATGATACTGATGATGCTGACTTTGATCCTGATTATGGTGCTACAAGCATGTGCAGGGGAAGCAAGGTTATTTTCCAATCACCTATTTATTAATAGTAAACTTATTGTTTTCTTACCGTGGAATATCTGTGTATATTAATTAGATATGTATTGCATTTATTAGAAGTTATTTTTTGACACTTGCATTTCCCTAGTTTGTCATTTGCAATAGCTTTAACATTGCTGATTGCTGTCCTTTTAACATTGTTTTGGACGTTTCTATGCAGGTTAGTTTAGCTTTATATGCTTCTTTCTTGTTATATAAATTGAAGAAGCAAATAAATATATGTAATATGCCCCTGTTTGGTCCGGATTAAAATCTGATTTTAATCCAAGTCAAAGTCAAACAATCAATATTAACCACGTCTTTTATGAGTCCCACAACTTTTCAACCACACATTTCAAAAATTTCTATTACAATCTACTAAAAATTTAATTTTAATCCCCACCAAACACCCTCTATATCTCGAGTTTCAACGGTAGGAAAACATTTATTTGTCAGATCTAAGATTAGAACTAACACACAACTCGGTGGGAAAATTTTGGGTAAATAATTTTACACTGAGGATGCATGAGTTATGAGCGTGTGATTGAATTAAGCTGCTATACATATCCTTGACTGTTGCTTTAGAATGCACACGCCCTTGAAAAAACTTTTTCTTTTACACATGGGGTTCAACTTTGGCATTTTTTAATGATTATGGTTGTAACTGATAAGAGTGTGATGGGGATTATGGGAGATTGCCAGATAATCTAACCCCCCACCCCCACCCAAGGTTTTCCCTTCATCTTTGAATATGATCTGCAATTCTTTAGTTTCTTTGACATATGAGTATGTCAAAAGAATCAAAACTATAGTTCTTTTCAACACGTGCTTTGTAGGGCACGATCCTTGAGAATTTTATCCATAATCATGATCCTGCAGAAGTGAAGAATGATTTAATCTATTATTTATACTCTGGAAAATATAATAATGTTATCTGTGTTGGAGAATTGACTTCATCATTAAGCAATAGAAATTGTGGGAATGGAGTGAAATTCATATGTTTTGGTTATGTTTGAAGGTTTTTATCAAATATGCTTATAGATGTTTATTACATAGTTATGTGCCTGAAAACACCCCATGTTTAGTGCTTCTCTCTGTCTTCCCCCCTCCCCCTCTCTCACAATCCTATCCATATATATAAACACGCTCCTGCATGCACAGACCTTTTCCATGTGACACCTTCCGTTCCTTCAAACGTTTTTGTCCTGGTTTTCTGATTACTGAACTTGTCGACCCCTTTGTGAAGGTGTAGTTATCTTCATCGTGCTTATATTTAGGGGAAGAGATTTGAGATTTTTCCCATTTTCATTGTATAAAGTGCAAACTTATATGGAATAGTTTATCCTTCCGCTGCAGGATAATGAGGAAGCATGGGATGGGGAAGACTTGGGTGATGATGTTGAGGATTCTGAGCTGAGTATTTCTGATGAAAATGATGCGTGCTATAAGAAAGGTAGAGTTCGGCACCGGGGTAAGAGTGGGAGTAACTTGAAGTCTGCCAGAGAGCCTAAATCACTCGCACCACACACACGGCGAAAGAGAGGCAGAACCTTGTTTGAAGAAGAAGAAGAATTATCTGCAGAGGACATGGAAAATGATAGCGATGAGGATTTCAAGAGTAAAAGAAGGAAAGATGCATCAGTTCACAGGAAGAATGTTGGTTGGTCTGCTTCTGTTAGTGTTTCTGGTAGGAACAATGAACTTCGAACTTCAGGCCGTTCAGTGCGTAAAGTGTCATATGTAGAGAGTGATGAAAATGAAGATCTTGATGAAGGCAAGAAAAAGAAGAGCCTAAAGGTGTAGTTATGTCATTGAATTTGTATTTTTGACTCATTAAATTTGGTTTCTATTAACGATTGTGCAATTAATATCACTCTTTCCTTCTTTTCTTTTATTTGATGCTGTATCAAAAATCTTTCTCTGACCCTGCGTTAGTGGAAGGACTATTTTTGAACACTTGAGTAGTATATTGATACACATTAGTGAACAAACATGGACAAGCACTTGTTGTACCTTGTGCCCTAGTGTTTGAATCTTTTTAATTAGTCTAGTTGCTTCTCTGCTGTCTATAAAAGCATTATGTGCTAGTGCATTTGTATGCGAGCGGGTTTGTTTCTTCCATGTGTTTTAGGATTGCATGCATAATTCTTGTTTTCGACCTTTTCTTACTTGAACATTTGAATAACCTGTTCTGTTCTAGATGATTTTTCACTAATTTGTTGTTTATAATTACTTCTGTTGAGAAGGAGGAGGTTGAAGAGGAAGATGGCGATGCAATTGAAAAAGTACTGTGGCATCAACCGAAGGGCATGGCTGAAGAAGCTTTAAGGAATAATAAATCGCTGGAGCCCATGCTGTTAAGCTATTTGTTTGACTCGGAACCAGATTGGAATGAGATGGAATTTTTAATAAAATGGAAAGGCCAGTCACATTTGCACTGTCAATGGAAATCACTATCTGAGTTGCAGAATGTAAAGTTTTCAAATGCTGTTGTTATAATTGATATTATCTATCTTATTTCATGTAGATATAATTTTGATGGGATTCTATATATAGAGGCATTGCATTATATTGAAAGTTCGTTTATCTTCTTTCATCGTTGGCTGAAGCATGTCTCCTCTGGAAATTTCAGCTTAGTGGTTTTAAGAAAGTTTTGAATTACACCAAAAAAGTAACCGAAGACGTCAAGTATCGGAGAGCAGTATCTCGTGAGGAGGTAATCCCAACATTACTGTATACTTAATCTTCAGCATTCTAGTTTGAGATCTTATTGAATTTAGGGTGTGTTTGATTGCATTTATTTTCCATGGAAAATGTCAATTTTCCATCCAAATTCCTACCTTAGATAGTTTGATTGCTATTTTTTAACATTGAAAATATTTTCCAACTTTTGAAAATATGCCTAATTTTCCTTGTTTTTAAGGAAAACATTTTCTTTGGGGGAGTAGGTTTTTGTTTTCATCAAAACGAGCAAAACATTTTCTTTTCTAGAAGATATTTTCCATACCAATCAAACACACTCTTAAAGATTTATTTGAAAAAGATGCAATTTCTTCTTAACTATACACACATGTACAATACTTAGATGACTGATATGGATGCATTTTATTATATTAATCTAGTTGTAAAAGTGCTTAAGTTGAACTAAGCACATAAAAATGTATGGTTGACAGTTTACAACATGCTTATATTGGAGACGGATTGAAATGGTTCATTTTTATAGTTGGAAGAGAACATTTAATTGATTAGTGAGTTTAGTTAGAGACTAAATGCTATTGTGAGCTAAGCGTCAGCATTGGAGTATCCTGAATTTATACGAGCTTGAACTACCCTTATCCCATTGAAATTTCTGAACAACAGCCCTAGCTAACATTGACTTCTTACTGAAGTGGATCAAGACCTCAGTTCTAGAGGATGCTAAAAAAATTTCTGCTGATTTTCAAGGTGTTTTGTCATTGTCAAGTTTCACGGTTGTATGTTTACCTTCAGAAAGTACCGTTCAAATCTTTGTTTTACCTTTCATATTGTGGCAGAAATTTTAACATTTGCTCGTTTTGAGCTGTTTGCTTTTCAAAGATTGCAAGGATGAGGTTTGAATTTATTTGGTTTAACTGATTACGGTTTTATAGGATCTTTTTTTCTTCATGCTGTTGCTTTTCTTTCTTCCATCCATCTGGTGGTGCTCATTTGAAGAGTGCTTTTCTTGAACCCTCGTGTTTGATTAATGGGGATATTTCCTGTTAAATTGTTTATTTGTCACAAGTGCTTGTTTGGGAGAAATTATAATGGAGTTGTAACGAAAAGGAGTAGTGGGTCTCATAAAATGTATGGATAATAAGTAGCTTGTAGTTGTGAATGTGTAGTTAAAATTAATGTTTGACTTTGACTTTGAATTATATCAAGATTTTAGTTTTTCCTGAACAAGCACGAACTTTGTGCATGTGTGTCTTGCTCTAACTATGCACACTGTAGGCTATGTTATATCACCATTAAGAATTGGAACAATAATAGTTCTATAGATTAATCTGTTGTGTAAAAGGTATTTTTGGAGAAATAGAATTTAGTTGTGATGATTTTTCATTCTAAGATATGAGGACCATATGTACCTGTGATCATATATTTTGTAAAGACTACTTTATGATTACAACTTCTACAGGTATAGTCACATTTGCATTTTTCATTAATTAACTTTGTTCGAGAATTGAAAGTGTTTACCAGATTGAGAACTGTGTTGTCAATTTTTTTTCTTTGGCATTAGAGCTCTACTTTCTATATTTGTTTTTGATAGCTTAATTATCTTATCCATCATTTTAACTTTCATTTTGCTTTTTTATGGATAAGATTGAGGTCAATGATGTGAGCAAGGAAATGGACCTGGATATCATCAAACAAAATAGTAAGGTAAGTTCAGCTGTACCACCACCCCTCTAGAGGCTATCTTGTACGCCTATTATGATGCCTTCTGTGATGGGTTTTGGTGAATGTGTATTCAGGTGGAAAGAATTATCGCAGACAGACTCAAGAAAGATGGGCCGGGTGATGTTGTACCAGAATACTTAGTCAAGTGGAAAGGACTCTCTTACGCTGAAGCTACTTGGTAATGAAAATGCTATTTATTTTAGATTTTGTGATCTACTGCTGTATTTAGTTTGCTATGTAGCTTGCTCTTGTTTCACCGATTTATGACGACAGTGAAATCATTTTGCAACAAGAGCTTAAAGGTGAATTGTGCTTGTGTTGTTGTAGGGAGAGGGACATTGATATTGCATTTGCCCTAGATGCTATAGATGACTACAAGGTATCACTTCATATAATTCTTAATGGTTTTATGATGCACCTTCTTGACGATCTTCATGACAAGTAAGGCGTTACTATTTCCATATTGTCAATTGCATGGTACCAGCGTCTGTCAAACATGAATTAGATGTATGGTAAGTGGTTTTTAGTCAAAACTTGATATCATCTCTGAAGAATGGTTTGTATCAGAACTTTATGTCAATCCACTTCTAGAATTACTATTGTATTTCTGAAATGTTGGCATGTAGAATTCCTTTATTTTTTTTCCTTTTTATTTCAAGCACTGTCAGTTTTTAAAGAACTAGCGAGAACTGATTTTTCGAAGCTAGAAGTGAATATAATTACAATACCTTTATATTTTTGTTGCCAGGATACATATATTTGTCTGTTTGAAGTTTGAACAGTTATCTATCTAGTTAGATTCCCTTGGCCACTTAAATGTCATGCATTACCACCCAGTTGGGGTGTTCAAAAGCATCCATGACTTGGAAATCTAGACAACACCTATTCAATTGCGAGCAAAAGGTGAAGTGAGGTTCTGAAGAAAGGCACCAAATCTCTTTTTTATCTGCTTTCCGCCCTTCCTCTTCTTTCAATCAAGCTGCTAGGGTCATTGTGTTTGCTTGCCATCTTGGAGTTTGAAACCTTAACAGATGGCCAGTAATTAGCCAAAGGAGTTGAGAATGATTTCAAGTCACGAAATTGTACCAAACTTAATTCACATGGATTCTCTCCTACTGATACGAAATGATCATTGAATCAAATCATAAGTACTTTGCCCTATCTGCTTGGAAAGATAGTTGTTAGAAATGAGTTTCTTACTTTCATGATTATTGATTTTCCTTTTGTAATGATTGATACGCTAAAAAGAAAATGTAAAGAAGGTACTGATGGTGTTGGATGGAATGCGGGGCTTGATCACAGCTGAGCTAACAGTAGTGGAAGTCGTCTTTTGGTTCTCTGTTCTTTCCCTTGTAAGATTTGAAGATATTTTGTTTTCGGTCCTTTTTGTTAATATGATCGCTCACGGCTAGTGGAACTCTTGGAAGAAATTCATCTTCTCTTCCAGATCAAGGATTGGAATCAAAAGTCATTCCATAATAGATTATAGATTCTTAACCATTCTTTGGCTTCCACTCCAGCTGGTAGATGGGCTGGGCATATGAATGGATGACAAGTTCACCGCACAACCTGAGTCTTTCCTTCCCATAAGATTTCTAGCATTGATTCGCGTCTGTGTGTAGCTTTCAAACATCCTTTTCTATGCACGATGACAGATAAAGAGGTGGAGGGTGAGACAACATGAGCAGAACACCTCTCTTTTTATTTTCTTGGAGGGAGGATTGTAATTTCTTTGCTTTGGTTAAACAAGGTGTATTTTCGAAAAGATATTTGAATCAATTCATTGAAAAATATTTCTGACCCTGAAGTAGTTACAACTGCCAACAAACAGTTAAGGAAGGAAAACATTTATTTTGGAACAAAGAGATTATATAAACGTCTCTCTATGGATTTCATGTGCTATATTTGAACATCATATTTTGGGTTCATATTAGTTTTGTTGGCTTATTTGCTCCATTGGGATGAAATTTCTACTCACATAATGGCAGATTCTTTTGTAATAATGTTCTGAGGTTTTATTTTTGGTTTATATAGATATTGAAAATGTATCTCTAAGTACTCGTATGTAAGCAGGTTCGAGAGGCTGCAATGATGTTGCAAGGCAAATCAGTGGATTTCCAGCGCAAAAAGAGCAAAGGTTTTTGATTCTGATAATTTATCTCTTTATGTATTCATACTTTTTGGAATCGATTTCTCTGTTTAGGAATTTTGATTTTTGAGTTGTTTGTTTTCTCTTGGGGTTGGTTGATTTTTGATATCTTTCTTTTAGAATGAGTATCTTTTGGAAGCAAATAGCAATTTGGTGGTTTCAATTGCTGGTTTGTGATACATGACTTGGACATTTTGGGTTTGGAACTTTGGTTGTTTGAGGTGGTGGCAAGGCATAAGGATCTTTTGCGAAGTGGGTATGCAGCCAGAGAAGAGGCTTGTGAGTGTTTAATCATCGGTGTTGATGCTGATCGATTGGGAAACAATCAGGGAAGAGAGGAAAACATTTTGAGATAACGATTTCTGTTAAAGTTAGTTTGGGGACAGTGAGTTCAATGTTTGTGGAAATGGATTACATTTTGAAACTGCCCAAAATGGAAAGGAAAAAATTAATGCTCCTTCCTGCGCCACAAAAGGAAAAATAATCATTTGTTTAAAAGTTTTTCATGGATGCTTGTGCTCTTTCTTACCTTCAATATTGTTTCTTTAAAATGAAATTGCGCTTTTGATATGGTTTCTTGTCAATTTGAAGTCTGAACTATTTTTCTTTGTAGTAAAAGTTTTTACTTTCTCAGGAAGTTTGAGGAAGCTTGATGAGCAGCCTGAGTGGTTAAGAGGGGGAAATCTTCGAGATTACCAGCTTGAAGGCTTGAACTTTCTTGTTAATAGGTGCGGACTGGTTCTTGGGTTCTAGTTCAATACTCTGAGTTCATTCTACATTTTGGTTTATTGGAATACAAAGTTGTGCTGATCAGTGCCCCTTTTGCAGTGCAGCTGGAGAAATGATACAAATGTAATATTAGCGGATGAAATGGGTCTTGGTAAAACTATTCAGTCAGTTTCAATGCTTGGTTTCCTGCTGGTACTTATTCTTCTTTATCTGGTCAACTGTGAATTTTTTTTCAGTGCTTTGATAATTATTCACTTATTACCTTTCCACAGAATGCTCAGCAAATTCAAGGTCCTTTTCTTGTTGTTGTCCCATTATCCACTTTGTCAAATTGGGCGAAAGAATTTAAAAAGTGGTTGCCTAGCATGAATGTTATTATATATGTTGGAACTCGTGCAAGCCGTGAGGTAGGTAATTTTTTCTCTTGAGGTTTTTCTTTTGGAGAATGGGATGTTGTGTTATTGATCTTTGTTTTTTAAGAGGGCGATTCTCCTTCCTTTTGTATCTATTCTGCTAAGTCTTTCAATGCTAAGCTTAGCCCTTGTTTGGTGCACATTTTGGGGGCAAAAATGCATTTTTTTTGTTGATTTGATGGGGAATATGTGGTTGAAAAAGAAGAAAAAGTTATTGATATGATGAAAGATATTATTTTATTGAAGAATGTGTGGTTGAAAATGAGGAGAAGAATGAGAATGAAAAAAATAATGTGGACCAAACATGGGCTTAATCTTCATTTTTAAAATTCAATTTTCTTTGGAATATATTCAATCTCCTTTCCTCCTTTTTCTTTTTCTAACAATCTATATCCAAATGCAGATCTGTCAGCAGTACGAATTTTACAATGATAAAAAAGTGGGCAGGAGTATTAAATTCGATTCCCTGCTGACTACATACGAGGTACTGCTGAAGGACAAGACAGTATTGTCGAAAATTAAGTGGAACTATCTTATGGTTGATGAAGCACACAGGTTAAAGAACAGCGAAGCCTCTCTGTATACAACGCTATTGGTAACATGAATTTTAACTGAATGTATTGGTTTGGCTCAGTATTGTACTTATAAGTTGTTCAGTTTATGGATAATTACTTTGTTTCCTCAGGAATTCAGTACAAAGAACAAATTGCTTATTACTGGAACTCCCTTGCAGAACAGTGTTGAAGAGCTGTGGTAATGAACTATTTTTGTTATTAAGATATGCTGTTTAGTGTTTAACCATCACTTGAAGTTGATTGTCGCTAGAGTAAATCACAAGCCAGTATTTTCTAGACTGGATTTAAAATTTTTAGTGGAAGCGTCTCTCGGTCATTAAGCTGGAAAATGTTTTTGAGAATCCTATTTTAATTTATTAGAAAACTACTATTACGTGTTATTTTTAGCAATTTTTGATGATCCGTCTGTTGAGATGCTTTCTCTACTCTTCCTTTTCTTTCTCCTCCTACGCCATGGTTTAGGAAGATTTCTTCTTTGGGGGTCATGGCAATCAACTTGTTTTTGATGTTTATTTGCCTGTATTTTGTGGATCATTTGTAATTATTGCATATTAATGAACTGTTGTGGAAGTTTTCCTAGCTATATGTTTATGTTTGATGTGTATCTTCATCTATATGTGGCCTGCTGGCGGTTTATGTTAGTTTGTATCTAAAAAATTGCAGGGCTTTACTTCACTTTCTTGATCCTGGCAAGTTCAAGAGTAAGGAAGACTTTGTTCAGAAGTACAAGAATCTTAGTATGTTCAATGAGATGGAGGTACAATTCTTTTGATATAGTTTGGGTTCTCCTCATAGATTTGTTTTATACTTGGATACTAAAATTTGTGTTTTTAACTTTATAGCTTGCTAATCTTCATATGGAATTGAGACCTCACATTCTTCGAAGAGTCATAAAAGATGTAGAGAAGTCCTTGCCTCCAAAGATCGAGCGTATCCTTAGGGTTGAGATGTCACCATTGCAGAAACAGTAAATGCTTTTCCAGGATTTAGATTGTTCATTTTTTTCAATATTAACTAATTTTTACTTTCATAAATGAGTTTTTGAAATGAAATTTAATCAGGTATTATAAGTGGATTTTGGAACGCAACTTCCAGGATCTGAACAAAGGAGTCCGTGGGAATCAGGTTAGTATTTGACTGGATTTTATTAGGTCTGGTAGCTGAAATGTATCACTTCAATACTGTAAAGAAGGGGCTGAATGGTACCGTTACTTTGTTGGCCTCTGTCTGGTTCTCTCTCTCCTTCCCATCCTTTCACTCTTCCCCCGTCTTTTCTCAGGGATGAGAAAATTATTGATACTGCACCTTGAATGGCATAGTGCTGTCAATTGCAGTTGTCACATTTCCATTGGTTTATTTATATTGTGGTTGCCTAATTATTCAATGGTTATTCATTCTCATAAAGAGTACAAGTGATGAAACTTCTGACAGTTGTTGCAAAAACTATGCAGGTTTCTCTTTTAAATATTGTGGTGGAGTTGAAGAAATGTTGCAATCATCCATTTTTATTTGAAAGTGCAGACCATGGTTATGGTGGGGATGCAAACTTCCTGGGGAGCACTAAACTGGAGCGAATAATAGTAAGCAGTGGGAAGCTGGTGATACTTGATAAGCTGCTGGACAGATTACATGAGACAAATCACCGTGTATTGATATTTTCTCAGGTAACATTTTTCATTACCTGTGCTCTATGCCTACTACTAGCTAGATAGCTGCTACCAGGAAGTATCAGCATTTTGATGCGATAGACTGAGATCCATAAAATTGATTCCCGAAGTGTTCAGCATTGTTGTCGAAAGTGTGCAGTATGCATGTAAACTGATAATATTAAATTACTTTTATGCTGCTTTACTATTGGCAGGGTTATTTGACTGATGTTTGCTAAATTTAATGAAAGTTCCTGTAATTCTGCAATTTATTGAATTTATTCTGCATTTATGGACACTTTTTTGTTTTGATGGAAACATACACCTGATTCTGTGCACAAGCCTCAGAAGGCTCTGGGCCATCTGATGGCTCATTGAGCTTTGTGCAAGTAGTTATGGCGTTTGGCTGGTGGTCGGATGACTTTGAATAAGACAAGGATGACCTTGAACTAGATGAGAAATCAGCCATATTTGTCACGCTGTATGGGGTTGGACCTGGAAAGATCAGAATGGACAATTTTTCTTGTGGACTGAACCATTGCTGTTTAAAATTGAAGGCAAGTGATGGTTGCATGTCACTCTTCCTGGATTGGGGCTATTTACCCGAGATTTAGCCTCCCCCAAACAGCAGGGGAAACAAGAATTTCTAAAGGTTCAAAATGGCCTAGCCACTGCTGGTTTGTTGATTGAATTCGAAAATGGAAAACATACCTATATTGTTTACTTGCTTTGCAATTGCCTATCCAATTATTGATGCTTGAAACTTTTAAAAATATTTATTATTGGGGAGTTGAAATATGATCTTGGGATGTGGGATGAAGTTGGATTCTGAGGGTTGTAAACTTGGAACACTAATCATTAAGGCTTTTGCATGTGGCCATTTATTTCTCTAATAGCTTAGTTGCTATTTTGAAGGTAGACGGTTTCCTTGTGAGATAGCGGAATTTTTCCTGGCCTTTTTTGAGATCATGTCCTAGTTCCCGCTCTTTGGATATAAGCACTATCAATTGACTTATAATCTTATAATGCAGATGGTTAGGATGTTGGATATACTGGCAGAATATTTGTCTTTCAAAGGTTTCCAATTTCAGAGACTCGATGGCAGTACAAAGTCAGAGTTGCGCCAGCAGGCTATGGATCATTTTAATGCTCCTGGTAGTGAGGATTTCTGTTTTCTTCTTTCAACACGTGCTGGAGGCTTGGGTATCAATCTTGCAACTGCAGACACAGTAATTATATTTGATTCAGATTGGAATCCACAAAATGATTTACAGGTTTTTGACGGATGATTCTTATTGCTCTCTTGCACAACGCACTATCTTTGCGCTATATTAATGCTGTAGTATTGTAAAATGTTTATTTTGTTTTGTTGGACTAGGCAATGAGTCGGGCTCATAGAATTGGACAACAAGAAGTAGTTAACATCTACCGATTTGTTACTAGCAAGAGTGTTGAGGAAGATATCTTGGAGCGAGCTAAGAAGAAGATGGTATACTCTACTGAGAGTTGTTGCTTGCCCTTGATTATAAACTTGTTATTCATGTGTGAAGCGTCATAAAAATTTTAGGTTTTCTTCTATGCATGCTGTAAATGGTGTCGATGCAAAGGATTTTTAAACTAATTTCTTATTTGTGTCATTTTTTTTTAGGTTCTGGACCATCTTGTTATTCAGAAACTAAATGCTGAGGGCAGGATGGAGAAAAAGGAAGCGAAAAAAGGAAGTTTATTTGATAAAGTATATGAAATAAACCACTGTTTTTGGTTTGATCTTTTTATCATGAATCTCAGTCTTTTTTTCTGTGCATCTCGTGTGCTGATCTTTGTGTACCAAATTCCTCCATTATAAATAAAGTTTTGAACTGTTTTGACCATTGTCCTAATTTTTACTTTCTTCCAATATAGAATGAGCTTTCAGCAATCCTGAGGTTTGGGGCGGAGGAACTTTTTAAGGAAGACAAAAATGATGAGGAGAGCAAGAAAAGGCTCCTCAGTATGGATATTGATGAAATTCTTGAAAGAGCTGAGAAGGTTGAAGAGAAAGTATCTGACAGAGAGCAAGAACATGAATTGTTGGGTGCTTTTAAGGCAAGTATATAATAACTCAGGTTTTGAATGGTAGATTGGATGTTTCATCTTCCAAATTTTGTAGTGGTATCTATGTTATTGCTCAAATGTATGAGAGAGCCCTCTTTCTCCTCTATGCGTCTTTCTTTTCTTCTTCTATTGAACTGGGTTGTTCGTCAATTTGATGCATCGCTGTTGTGCCAGGCAAGATTTCCAATTATCATTCATATGAACTGTATTATTTTGTCACCATATACAGGTGGCAAACTTCTGCAGTGCTGAAGATGATGGGACTTTCTGGAGCCGCATGATTAAGCCAGAAGCTATTGCCCAAGCTGAAGTATGCAATCAATTCTGATGTATGCAACTTCTTCTAATTTTTTTTTCTGAGCGATCAGTTCTTATTGTATTCTTTTCATCTTCTAGGAAGCTATAGCTCCACGAGCTGCTAGGAATATTAAAAGTTATGCAGAGGTCAACCCACCTGAGAATTTCAATAAAAGGAAAAAGAAGGTGGCTGAGTCTCAGGAAAGATTGTCAAGGCGTCGCAAGGGTGATTCTGGGTATTCTCTTCCCGTGATTGAGGGTGCTACTTCTCAAGTGAGGGGATGGTCCTATGGGAATTTACCAAAGAGAGACGCAACACATTTTATCCGTGCGGTAATGCTAGCTTAATTATGCAGTTTAGTCATATTACGTGTTTGGACTTCGGTGTTAGTGTGTTATCTTGGTGCAAATATTTTACTAAGCTCACAATAGAGAATAAATCCAATGTCACTTGGTAGTTTCTTGGGAGAATCGATATCAGTGGTTTATTGAATTTAAGACTCCATTTGTTCACACCTTTTTATGCTTCCTGGCTATTCCTTTATTTCCATTTTCTTTTCCTTTTCCTTGCTCAAGTGTGAGTGGTAGGGTTTGGAGGTCAAGTTTTAGATTTTCTTAGAGGTGAAGGTTTGATAGAAGATAAGATGCTTTCTTCAAGTGCCATATGTTTTAGTGCGTGTTAACCAATAATCACTTTCTAAATTATGAATCTCTCTCTTTTTGCAGTAGAAGAATTGTTTTGATTAGTTTTCCAATGTTGCTACTTATGTTGATTTATTTCTTCCAGACAATAGGTGCAGAAAATCTTCATTTTTATGAAAGTAACATCTGTTCAAGGGAGGAATGGAAATGTACAAAGAAAGAGGAGAAGCTTTCTCTATAGCTAAAATTAGGAAGAAAACCGCATTTGCTTGGTGATATATCATTCAAGTTTCTTTCTAAACTGATTAAAGATCTTCAATAATGTCCAGTTGCTTTAGGCTAAAGAGAACCTAAATTTTTGACATCTTTATCTTGCTTTTGGACATGTTATCGTTTCCCATCTTAATGCTTCACTTTCTGCTAAAATCTGGGGAATGCATGGTCTTTACTGGCATAAAGAGCCACCTTGATTTTAAAAGGAATTGGATTATAAACCTTTCTAGTTTCTTTTCTACTCTCTCAAGCACTCACTTCAAATAATAGCAAGATACTGTTATGAATAATGTTGACCTCGAATTTCGTACCTCCAACGTGGCCAATAGATTCTCACGTCAGAATGGTAAAGAGACACATCCATGCAAGCCTGATTTCTGCACACTTGGATAAACCGTTAGCCACACGTGACTTTCTCCGGTGGTGGCGGAGTTAGCCACGCCCACTCCAATGGTCTAATCAGTTGGGGGAATAAACGTAAGAGTGCGGGATGGCTTTAGACGCGAGCCTCCAATATAAAAAGGGGGTCGGCCGTGGGGTGTATAACGGAAATAAAATAATAAATGAGTAAGGTTATAAGTTGAGAGCATAAACTTGCATTATTCTGGGATGACACTAAGTGAGCTTTTATAGTAGGAGAAGGTGAATAAGAGTCATTGGATGAAGAGATGCATGGCCTCATCCGTGCGGTTGATGCCTCTTATCGGAGACGTCAATCAATCATAAACATTAAATGTTAATACCATTTTAGTCCATAATACCTAGATTGTGGCTTTAGACTTGACATGATTAGCTAAAAAGGATGGCGGTGGCAGTGAATTGTCACATCAATCACATATCAAGGATTGCCAAAAAGATCTTGCACCGAGCTCCTTCTGCAGCCTCCCCCTTTGTGTGGGTCCGGTTCTTTCCAACGAGGTTGACGCAATCCAATGGGTTCGGTATCTCCACCTTGGTTCAGCCTCTTCATGGGGTTCAGTCAAACTGCCTTGTGGAAGTTTGACATGGAGTGTGGGGCCCAGGTTCGCTTGCCACGTAGGATTTGTGGAGCCTTATATTGTGGGTCGTAACAAATTACACTAGTTTGTTTTTAGAAATTCTCGAGAATAGTTTGGCAGTTAGCTGATGATATGACTTTATGGACTAGTTTTGTTAAACAGGAACTGAGACATAAAATGAGACTAGTCAGTCTAGTTTGTATACACATTAATGTTTGATTGCTACTAGACCTGCATTAATTGTTTGACTAAATAATAGATATTGTTGTTAATTCTCTAATGCAACAACTTTGTCATCATATCAGTTCATTCTGTTATTAATTCATATAAAAATTGCATATACATATCGTAGTCTACTATTCATATTCTTGCATTATTAAGCTCATTGTGTTAAATGAAGCGGATAATTTGGAAACTACCTCTTGTATTTGATTTGGTTTCTTGTTTTGGTTTACTTACTCATGGTGCATGCTTTATTAGTATTCTATCAATTTAGTTCAAGAGGTTATTTTGCCAAACATATGATAGGACCTTTATCTTACTGTGGGGCCTTAAAAATTTAGGTTAAGAAATTCGGGATTGATAGCAAGATTAGCTTAATAGCAGTAGAAGTGGGTGGAATAGTTGAAGCTGCTCCAACTGAAGCACAAATTGAGCTTTATGATGCTTTAATTGATGGTTGTAGAGAAGCTGTTGGAGGAGAGAATGTGGACCCAAAGGTTTGTCTATCCATCACTTGTATGCTATAGCTTTTATGTCTGAAAGTTACATGAGATATTTCGAGTTAAAACTCGTGTAACATTTCCTTTAGGGGCCTCTTTTGGATTTTTTTGGTGTTCCTGTGAGGGCTGATGAAGTCTTAAGCCGTGTTGAAGAACTTCAACTCCTAGCCAAGCGGGTTTGCCAATATGAAGATCCAATCTCTCTTTTCAGAGCTCTTGCGTATCTCAAACCTGCCACATGGTCTAAAGGTTGTGGGTGGAATCAGAGTAAGTAGATAATTTTGTTACTTTATCTGTTGTATTTCCTTGGTTTCCCTTTCTTTTTTATTGTGGCGGGAGGGTGAGGTGCGGTGGAGGGGATGAGCGGGTGGATTGGTTTGGGAGAAATGTTATCATGCTTTATTGGTTTCATAAACTCTTTCTGTTGGTACTGCAAGAGGACGATGCAAGGTTGCTGCTTGGAGTTCACTATCATGGATTTGGCAATTGGGAAAAGATAAGGTTAGATGAAAAACTTGGTCTTTCTAAAAAGATTGCTCCAGTGGAACTTCAACATCATGAAACTTTCTTACCTCGAGCTCCCCAGCTGAAAGATCGAGCTTCCCAACTTCTAGAAATGGTACAATGAATTTATTCTTAATTAGGTTTATCACATTCGGCAAAACCTTATAACTTTCATTTCCATGATGTGGTATATTTTTATTTGGTTGTCATTTTGCATGTACTTTCCTGTTCATTTATGCATCTCAATACCATTATGTTCTCAGGAAGTTGTGGCTGTTGGTGGGGGGAATTCGAAAATAAAAGTTGGCCGTAAGAATGCAAAGAAACAGAAGGAAAATCTTCTAAATATCCCATTATCACGGGGAAAGGGCAAACAGATGAAATCTGATTTTCCTAATCCAAGTGTACAAATTAATAAAAGTAGAGCTCGGAAAGACCAAAAGGTCGAACCATTGATTAAAGAGGAAGGTGAAATGTCTGATAGTGGTGAAGTCTATGAGCAATTCAAGGAAGTAAAATGGATGGAGTGGTGTGAAGATGTCATGATAGACGAGGAGAGAACTTTGAAACGCCTTCAGAAATTGCAATCTACCAGTGCCGATCTGCCAAAGGAGAAGGTTTAACGATGAGCATTCGCTTCTCTATTTATTCATTTTTCCTGATATGGTCTTGAATTTTGTGCTTAACAGCCACTATGCCAGGTGCTTTCCAAAATTCGGAATTACTTGCAGATTCTTGGTCGAAGAGTCGACCAAATTGTATCGGAATATGAGAAGGAGCCTTACAGGCAAGAAAGTACGTAAATTTTCCTTCATCCCTTACATTCTCGTCTTTTTAAGAAACTATGTGACAGGTTTTAACACTATTTAATTACACAGGGATGACTACACGATTATGGAAATATGTATCCACCTTCTCAAATTTATCTGGTGAGAGGCTTCGACAAATCTATTCCAAACTTGAACAGGAGCAACATGCTGACGGTATGGGACCTTCCCACATCAATGCTTCCACTCTTGGGGGTCAAGCAGCAGCATTTTTGCATAGGGATCTTGATGTGGGCAAATTTGAAGCCTGGAAAAGAAGAAAACGAGCTGAAGCCGATGCCTCTCACGTTCAGTATCCATATCAAAGAACTACAAGTAATGGCACACAAATACCTGATCCGAGCTTTTCTATTCTTGGACCACCACCATCTGACAGTAGACACGTGAGTAACGGTAGGCCTTACAAGATTCAACAAGCTGGCTTTCCTCCAAAACATGGTTTCTCCTCTAGTTTCAAATAGTTCCTCGGCCTTCCATGCGTTGATGAGTTTGAACCAATTGTAGAGAGAAGCCCAGAGGTTCTTGTTCAGGCTTTGGCTGCTTTAGGGATTGTTATTTTCTTAATCGTTTAGCCCATGAGAATACAAGTTTTGCAGAATCCTTTTTATAGAGTTCAGTCGAGACGAAATCATTTAGTTTCTGCGTCGCTACAACCAGTGGATGCAGAGACTCTGAAGGTCCTTCAATATCTTGAGGTGACATAAAGAGGTGATATATGCCCCAGTGGATGCAGAGAAATTCTGAAGATCCTTCAATGTTGGGAGCTGACATAAAGAGGTGATATACGAGACATCTTCAACAATTCTTTTTGCTTTTGTTCATTGTGTATGTGGGAAGCCCATTTTAAATGTATAATGCGTTCATAAATTGTACATGAGAAAGTTTTGCTTGTTGACACTTGAGCTTATCCAGGCAAGTTTACATCTCGACTTATATTGCCCGGGTTCTGTCAAGCAGTTTCTTATAGGTGATATGGGTAATTGAAAGCCCCGATTTGCTTTCTGTTCTCAGTAACTTGACATCCCAGCCTTTCTTGTTCCGTATGTGTCAATGTATATCCGGTGCTGTTTCTCTATACACACCCGTCCGCCCACCCACATAGCTTAGATTCGAAGTTCTCATCTGTAAGATTGATGCAATCTTAATGTTAGAATGGTGGGATGCATCCTTAAATTAACCCGACTAAGTCCTTGTTCGGTAGAGTTTTTTAAAAGCGAAAAATTGCTTCAAGAAGTTGCTTTTAGGTTGTGATTTTCTTATGAATCTGGAAAAGTAGAAGCTTTCCTAACAAGCCCAATTAAGGAATCAACGAAGAACTTTGTGGATTGTGATTTTTGAAATCGGTATATTTGTAGAATTGTAGCCTTGTAACCAAACGGGAGCTGTTTTTCTTTAGACTTTTCGACGGTTTCTCGAGGGTATAGTGACAACTTAAATTTTCCATATTGATCTATTCAATTTCTCGTGTGAAAACCTTCTTTGGACTATCCGGTTTAAGTACTAAATTTCCGCCTCATAAAATCTAAATTAGACATCTCTGTGTTGTATGCTTTATTGTCACATATAAAACGAGAAAGACGTTCTATAATCTATGAATTGGTTACACTAAAGGAAAGTAAAGAAATTATATCGTATTTTAAAAGGAAAGATAGTCAGGAGGTTTTTCTGGAAATAGCTTTGAAAGAGTGCGTATTAACTTACTAATCGAGGGTTCTTGCACCGAAAATGAATGCAGTTAAACGATCTATTGAAACCGTGGGATGTAAAAAAAGTGGTCGGGAAGCATTTAGTCTTAGAAGGAAGCCACCGAGCGAAGTTGAAACCAACGGATAATAGTTTTATTTAACTGTTGTTTTGAATTTTATCAAATTGTTATAAATTATTAAGTTTGAAAATAATGTCATAATCCCCTCAAACGAAACCGTTTATACCCTTACACTTGTGGTACGTTTGCTAACTTGGACTCGATATGCGCGAGATCTAGAAATTTCCTCTTCCTAGTTGTAGAAGCAGTTTTTCTTGTTGGAATCCTTTTAAATTGGTTAATCGTCCAGAAATAGATAAAGAGTAGTGGAGTGTATTTGATGAAAGAAAGCGAAGAAAGAATAAAATAATTGGAAGCCATAGTAGTGATGCATTGTTGTAAATATGGATACAAATCCTGATCTAGCTACAAGGGTGAGGCTTTATTTAAAAATATGGAAAGCAAAATTGTAAAAACAAAAAACGATAATAAAAGTTACTAGTTTTAGAGTTATAGTTGGACGAAAAAAAAAAAAGATGTTTTTTTGGGTGACCCATGTGATACCTTTTTTCTTGGCATTCATTCAAGATATTATGGGAAGGGTAATTGGCGCAAAACGTCTCTACTTCTCGTTTTTTGGTGCAGAACATCACTACCTTTACATTTTCTTGCGCAAAACGTCATTTTCGTCACTTTTTGACCATTTTACCCTTCTATTAAAATAAAACAAACACAAAATAAAAGAAGAATAAAGAATAAATTGCAATTATGGGTTCAAACTTTTAAAAATGTGCAAATTAGTCACAAATATAAATTAACCATTGGAAAGCAACCCAAACCACCGGATTTGGACACCATTGGAAAGCCCTTATCACAACCATCAATTACCACAAAAAATCCAACCAAAACATCCAACAAAATTGAAGAAATCAGCCAAAAAACCTAGCTGCATAAATTCATTATCTATCGGGATAGTCCAATCATAAATTCATCAATTTTGGGATGCAATTGGTTAGGACCCAGGGCTGGGCTGGGTTGCCCAGAGTGTGGGGGGACTAGCCCAGGTGGTGCGCCACCTTGGTTTGGCCGGACGGCGCCTGAATTGAAAGAAATAAAATTCTGTGTTCGCGAGTTCGTCCCTTCGAGAATTTCAGAATCAAACTCAAGTTGGTTGGGGTCAAATTGATGGAGACCCATTACTGGGCTAGGTGCACCAGGTGAGGGCGAACCTAGCCCATGTGGTCCGCCTCCCTGGGTGCAGTTGACAGCGCCGGAATTAAGGTTTTTCTTAGGCTGGATCGCGAGCATCGCAATTGGGCACTATTCCAGAATTAATTCACTTTGCTTGGGAGTTTTTATAGATGAATTACCAACATGGGAGGGCTCATCTAGGTGTGGGGAAGTGGCCAGCAGGTGTCCCCGGCCATGGGTTTCGCCGGACGGCATTATTCCGGCAGAAAATGGTTTTGCATGCACCTGGCTTTTTTGGCTGATTTCTTCAATTTTGTTGGATGTTTTGGTTGGATTTTTGGTGGTAATTGATGGTTGTGATAAGGGCTTTCCAATGGTGTGCAAATCCGGTTGTTTGTGTTGCTTTCCAATGGTTAATTCATATTTGTGACTAATTTGCACCTTTTTAAAAGTTTGAACCCATAATTGTAATTTATTCTTTATTTTTCTTTTATTTTGTATTTGTTTTATTTTAATAGAAGGGTAAAATGGTCAAAAAGTGACGAAAATGACGTTTTGCGCAAGAAAATGTAAAGGTAGGGACGTTCTGCGCCAAAAAACGAAAGGTGGGGACGTTTTGCACACAAACCAGCAAATGTAGGAACGTTTTGAGCCAATTACCCTTATGGGAATGAACCTATTACTAAATTTAATGAATTAAACTTAATTAAGGTAAAAAAAAAAGGTTTTATAAGGTCACCGTTCACTCTAAAATAGAAGATGAATTCAATACAATTCAAAAATTGAAGAAATGATCAAAACAAAATGATTTTTGAATTGTGTTCCATAATAACATAATAATTTTATTCAAAAAGAGTTTCATTTTTGAGTGAAGTTACACAATCCAATTCGTATTATTAGTTTATACCCAATGAATTGGTTGATAGGAATCGCGAGATGGGAAAATGTTACAAATGATGAATCAATTTCGTTTTATATGCGCTCATTGTTCGTGCCATGTGTAATGATAGATGAATCAAAAACTTTCAATTGAACTTATTCTTTCAATTGGTATTTTTGCGTACCCTCCTATTTTACAAAAATAGAAATTTAGTTAAATGATTTCTAAATATATGTATAAAAATAACATATTTCAGTTAGCTCCTTCATGCTTACTATAACTATTATTTCGATTTTTTACTAGTGGCTTTAACTATAACTTCAACTCTATTTATTGGTCCGAGTAAGATACGACTTATTTGAAATTTCTATTTGAAAGAAATCTATTTCTGTGAGATTTGCGCTAGCGCTTTATATTAAGCTAATATAATATTAATTAAGGGCTTTTCCCTTATTATATTAGTAAAGTTGCTCAAAGTTGGAAACTTTTAATACAATCTAGAAGATATGGTCGAATGGTAGAAGAATCTATGGGTTCGTTAGGAATCGATAGTCGTTATCTGGACACACGAGTCACGCCGACCGGGAAGAGGAGAGATCAATGATGAAGCTAGAAAAAATGAATTTTAATGATTCACTAGTCGGGATGGCGAAATGAACCGAAAATCAATTCATCTATTGGGAGAAGTTACGAACAAGCCCTACAAATGAAATAGAGGTTGAAAGAGTAAAAATTCGCCCGCATTTGCACTATCCTTTTCCTCTTGTCCCACATACACCCTATCTCATAGATATGGACATCATTCATATGATTTCCTTCTCTTTGTCTGAGGAGGCTATGAAATAGTGGAAGTCAGTGATATAGATATCACTGATGGTATTCATGAATATGAAAACAGTCTGTATGTCAAGATCTTTGCAGATCCAGATATCAATATCAAACAACAAAACCCCCTCTATTAGAAATTTCTAAAACATTTTGTATAGTTGATTGTATACTTGCTATGTACACAACAGACAAAAGAGGCGGTTATTCTATCTATTTTCACCATAGAATGAATATTCGATCTTTTTTCGTTTATAAAGTTAGGGTTAAAAATATAAGTTTTGTTTATCATATTGTTCAATATTGTCCAATTTCTTTTCCCCTCTACTTACCTCAAAAACAAAATGAGTATCCAATTCAAGAGGGTGTGTGGGTTAATAGCACTTATCATCTTCTCTCTCATGGTTGCCTTTTAACATATTTAACTTTTCTCTATTGTGTATTAAGCAATCAATTTTTCCAAGTAAACTTATTTTGTTGTATTTGCATTTACGCACTCCTATTTCTATCTATTTTGCAACAATGCCATGAAAACATCTAAATTGTTTCAATTGAGTCCTTGTGATAAGAAGTTTATCATTATTTGGAAGTACAAAGGTGGGGATGCTTTATTCAAATCATACATCATACAATACTAATTAGAAGTTAAAATATTATCTATTGGGTCATATCTCTAGTTGTTTCTAGCCAAGACTGTGTTAGGTCGTTGTGGTACGGGGCACACAATTACAACTGAAGTAGAAATAAAAAATAATGAACACCTTTATTTTACGTGGACAAATTGTAGAAGGATTTCACTATAACGAAATGATTACAAGAATTTCTCTCTTTAATAAGGAGAGCGCAATTGACAATACCCTCTCTTATACTAGGAAAAATTACTCACTCTCTAATAAAAGGAAAGACAATATTTAGGAAAAACCTCACTAATTTTTCTCTCTAAAAATACTCTTTCTCTATGGTTTTTAGTCAAGAAAAATGGGATAATATGTTGAAGTATATAGACATGTATATATAGAATTTGTGGAGATAATTTTGTTGACTAATTCAAACACTTAACCAAGAAGAAAAATGCTTCTTATCCTCTTCCATTTTTTGCCAACTTTGACCCACAAGAAAGTGGCTTTATCACTACAGACTATGATGCTCTTAATGAGGTATGATTTTCTGTTCATAGTAATTTTAACTTTGTTTTCATTGTTCATACTGTCAAATACCTTAACAAACAAGCAATTAAAGTTTTCTGCTGTGATAACGTAGGCTTGAAGAACTGCACCCAAAAAGGAGGAATGGTTCAGTGACACTGACACTGACACTGACACTGACACAGTCACTGCAGTAGGCGTTCCACCTTATATCAACAGTTCGGAAATCTTTAGAACGTAGTGGAAACGATACAAATTAACCTTAGGTTTGTTTGGGCCTCAACAAGGTTGCTGGAAAGGTTTTCAGAACTGGACATCTTGGAAACCTCAACGAGGTATGGTCTTCTTTATTGCCTGCTACGATTCTTTCCTTTGTGGGATCATTTTCCTACGAGAGAGGATGAGAAGAATTAGAGACAATTTATAGAAGCTAGGTAGGTATCCATTCTATAATTTTTTGGGGATGTACTACATGTACTGGGCCAACTGGCCCTCTAAGCACCAGGGGGACAGGTGTCTCCCTGCCATAGGGGGAGAAAAAAGAAAAGGTTTCTCCCCCTAGGTGTCCCCCGGTACTGCCCTGTACAAGTAGCACATTTCGAAAAATTATACAATGGATTGCTGATAGAAAATAAAAAAGGGATTATCGATTCAAAACATTATCAAATCCAAAAATTCACAAACCCTTTTTACACATACAAACCATCCACATTGAAATCAATGAGAATAACTAAATAAAAGTGGAAGCGTACCTTGATCCATATGTTTGATTGTTTGCCTGAATAAGTTATGATCTTCCAATTTGATTTGTGATCTTCTCTTCAATTTCGATATCTATTGATGGGGATGTAGAGAACCTCTAGAAGAACACAACAAATTAGGGACCATGACCCCATATAATCATTAAGACAATGAATGGTCATTATCTTTCATTTGTTTCAAATCGACCCCTAATCAATCTAAAACAAACATTCAGTCTATACACTTTAATTCCATGAAACCTAATACCCATTAGTCAAAATTCATTCATCTTTAGTGGATCACTTTAAATTGACTAATATCCTATAAATAATAGCACCACACATTTTAATATACAACATGTAGTCTCAAATATGAAGAAATTATCCAACATTTGCTACCTAGCTTCCAGAAACTACAGGAGAGTAAAAAGAACCGACTGAGCCGGCAGTCTCGACCCTTTCTGGACATCGAGTACGCACCCAGCATGCCATTTCGGGTGTGTTTGAAATCCATTTTAAATAGAATAAAATTTTTGAAATAGTGATTAATGGAAAAATGTGTGGTGAAAAAGTGATGAAAAGTTTTAGGTTTGTGTGAAATATTATTTTATTTGGGGAATGTGTGGTTGAAATGAAGAAAGAGAAAAAAATAAGAATGAGAATGGATGTCAAACAAGGACTTCACAAGCTAGGCCCCACCTGGATTGAAGCCTGGAAACAAACAAAATCATTTTGCTGATGAGTCACTGTCCTTTTTGGGAGATGCTACGTGTACACAATAGTATACACACGATTTTACACCCCCCTCACATGGAGGGGACCCACACACAATAAAATATTCGTGGGCCCCCCTCAATGTGATGAGGGTGTAAAGCCGTGTGTACACCATTGTGTACACGTAGCATTTTTCATCCTTTTTATCCTCTATTCAACTAAAAACTGTTACTTATCAACTTACTCGTTTCCTTCCTAATAAAAATCATTTATTTTTAACGTATAAGTAATTTTTCTAATGTTCACTGAATTCTAGTATCCATATGTTCTAGTCCTTCTGGATTGATCCCCTTAAAGAAAGAACTCCGATTTTGTCTGATTATGAAACTAACTTGGCTGATGCGAAACGTTTACTCTAAAATTCGAATTTAATTTTTCGAATTGACGGCCTTAGTCCATTTACATTGCATGTTTGGAATGAGAATGATTGACCACGACTCGACTGTATTAAAAAGAAACTAAAATATTGTCTATTATATCGTTCAATTATGTCTAATACAATGTATTTAACCTGCTAATAAAGTTTATATTACGATTGATGCATTGCCTACAGTTGCAAATGTAGGGGTGTCTTGCTGCAGTTGAAATGGTGCTCAAGGATGTGGGGTGCCCAGTGAAACTTGGTAGTGGAGTTGCAGATGCTTCTGTTTATTTACACAACACCATTCCCCTGATTCCTTCAAGGATTTGATTCAGTCAATATTACTATTTTTATGTTTGTGAAGGTTACGTTGTAAAAATACACAATTTCCTGTCTTTGATACTGTTGACCACGAAAAATGGTTCGGACACGTGGCCATCAGGATAAGTCTTCACGTCGCTTCTCCTTGCGTACGGTAGCACACCGTTAGTCACTCTTGGCCTTTTCCGATGGTGTTGAAAGCAGTCGCGAACACTCCGACAGTCAAGCCAATGTTTCGATTTAAAGGGAAAGTTAAATATATCTTGGAGAGTTATGGTGAAACTCACAAATTTCGGATCCCCCAACTCTCACCAAAAAGGGGGTATTTATAACAAGAAATGAAAGAAGAGAGTCGTTCGATGAGGGGATGCGTGACGTCAGATCTTCGAAGGCTATCCTATCCTAGGTGTCATCTTGTCTCTCAATAGGTTGGCCGGCATTAAATGATTTCTGACATATCAGTTGAGTTGACCGTTTGTAACCTGCAACACGTCCCATCAATCAGTCAAGAACTTGACTGAAGATCCTAGAAAAGATCGACGGGGAAGTGGCGAGGCGGGGTAAATATGAAGAGCGGGCCTTTGCATCCACCGTGAATGGCAGATGAGTTCGGTTCCTATACGAAGTGGGGCAGTAGCGTCTCAGTTCGGAGTTATGGAATCAGCTCGTCTGCCACGAGGTAATGCCAGATCGGTTCGAACAACACGTGGCTGCTGATGAGGTGGGTGAATGAGGTAGGGGGCTTCTGAAGACCCGTAACAGATACTTCATTTTTTATTTTATTTTTTTGGGTTGTGGACATTTCTGTATCTAAATTAGATAGTTTTTATGTTTCGTGGGCCTCAAAAACGTAAACGCGGCACACAGTTTTTCTCTAGTATCATGCAAATCGACCTTCGAGTGCCAACTTAAGAAGAAAGCTCGACTACAAGACCCAGGAATAAATGAAAAAAAATTGAATTATATTGAAAAAGTTAAGTCCGTATTTATTATAGTGTTCTTCATTGATCTTCAACTAACGGCTCAATATTTTTTTCTTTCATTTAATCTTATCCACTGCCCCTTATTGCCGTTTCGCCCCCTTGACCAGCTGCCCGGAATCCGGCAGCTCCATCTCGTCCAAACACCACATCTTCATCCTCAAAGCTGGCACTATACTCGTATTCTCCAATAACTCATTTATCTCAAAGTTCCTTAATTCTTCAATATATATAACGTAATTAGTTTTTAATAGGTTTAATATTCGTAATTTTTAAATTTCAACCACACAATAAAACTCACATTATTATTACAAAAGCACGTGTTCCTATCTAGTTTTTATACGGGTCTGAACGTGGCCTGCACGTGTTCCTATCTAGTTTTTATACGGGTCTGAACGTGGCCTATACAACGGCGTGCCGGTCCAGCCTCGTAAAAGATGCAAGCCTACTCGACCCGGATATATTTGGCCGACTCGGACCCGACAAGCAGGGCATGCTTGAGCCACATTTTTAGTGTCAAATGCGTTTTGAAATAATATATTAATGTAGAATGTGTGGTTAAAAATAAGTAACAATTTTGAATTTGCGAATAATATTATTTTATTGAATGATCTAATCTTGAAAACAAAGCGAGAAACGGAGAAAATGGGATCAAACAAGGTTTAAATCTTAATCCCCAAATTTGAGAGTACTACCCTTTAAAGCAATAGTACAAACAAGTAGTTTCTCGTTCAAAAATTTCTCCTGTGCTTTGAATTCGATCATTCGCAACAGATTTCTTAGCTGAAGGAAAAACAAAATTCTTAAGCACAAGAGTAAAAAAAAAAATTGAAAATGGAAGCGAAGATTGGGCAATTTTTCGATTCAGTTGGCAGTTTTTTCACCGGTGGAGATCAAATTCCTTGGTGTGATTCCGACATAGTGTCTGTAAGTCACTATGTACCTATTATTGAATGTATGTATAGGTTAGAGGATTATGGGTATAGCTGTGAATCGATATAGGGTTTACAAATAAGCGGTTAACTCATGAGTAAATTAGAAGAATCGAGCGAATTGATTATTTAATGGAAGGAGAAAAAGCTCTCTTTAATAGGCACTCTTGCTAAAAGTATGATTTCTTCAGTTATGTTCATTTCAAGAGCCAACCTGGTTGATTGTTTATGCCGAGCTTCATAGTCTTTTATTGGTTTTCATCTGACTGCAGCTCGGATCAACTTCGATTGTTGTTATATTCTGGTTGTACTTGTCGGTTCATTTCTGGATAGTAGAATCTGCTGAGGTTTGGACATTTAATAAAGGGATTAATGGAAATTTGGTTAGAGGGCATGACTGGTGTGATTAACTTGCGTTTATTTGCAATTTATGTCCATCGATTTCAACACATGTATAAGATGGTTGATTTGTGTGAATGAATTGATTATCATCGTACTACTTTTGTTGCTTTTCAGGTATTATATAAACTGTGAGCTTACATATCTTCATATATTTAAGATATGAAGTATTTCATTAATTTGTGTGGAATTGAGTTGTTTATCATCGTACTACTTCTGTTGCTTTGAACAGATGAAATAAACTCTGAGAATATGTATCTGAATTGAAATTTATACATTCAAGATATTGTTATCCCAACAGTTGGAATCACAGACCAAAATGCAATAACTTTTGTTCTTCTTCTTCAATATGGTTTGTAATGAACCCTATGCTATCACAAAAGAATTTCACATATATGCAATTTGTCATGGAAAGTTGTGTTTAACTGCTATGTTCTTACATCGTGAACATCTAGGCATTCACGATCTGTTTGTTCCTTTGACCTTGTTTCTTATTTGCTTTAGCTTGTATCTTAGAATTATGCATCTACAGGGTTGTGAACGCGAAGTTGCTGAAGCTGAGAAAGGTTCGTCCAATGAACTTAAAAGTGAATGCATCATGCGTTTGTCTTGGGCCCTTGTTCACTCAAGACGACCAGAAGATGTACAGCGTGGAATAGCGATGCTTGAAGGTGATATTTGAATAAAGAATCTCATGTTTTCTTTCTACACATGCACGTGAGTATCCATGCGCATGTCTATGCGCCTCTGTTTCAATTAGAGTATTATTTTAAACGGGGACTTGAGATCTCAAGGGAAATGCTGTCCTGCAGACATTTTTTTCCTTTCCTTTTTCAATCAGTAGCTTTCTTCTCGTCAAATCTTTTTTATTATTATTTTTTATTCCAGTGGTTGTTTGGCATTAAGTGTACATATATGCAACTTACAGAACTCATTATTTGCAGCTTCTTTGGCTGGCCTCAGCAGCCCGCTGCAAGTTAGGGAAAGGCTCTATCTTCTGGCTGTTGGATACTACAGAAGTGGGGACTATTCAAGAAGCAGGCAGCTTGTTGAGCGTTGTTTGGAGGTCTGAATTTTGCCTTTTCATTTATTTTTCAGGTCTTTAAAGTTCTGTGTTCTCTTCTAATTATGAAAGTGGAAACATACATATCAGCTTCATTTTTACTTTTGAAAACCCTCGATGTTTAAGTTTCCTGTTCTTGCGTGTAGGCTCTATGCCTACTCTTCCACTCTTACTTACCGTCTGATAAGTATGCATTCTAACAAGTATATGTAATTCTGCAGATTGCACCTGACTGGAGACAGGCATTAACCCTCAAGAAAACGATTGAGGATAAAATCACCAGAGGTAAGTGAACTCTTGTTACTCGTATACATTTAATCTTCCTCAAACGTGGGGCTGTATAATATGTAGTGTTGCCCCACCTCACCTAAAAGCTATGGTGGTAGAGAGGGGTATAATTATAAACTTATTTATTTAGATTATATCTTCAACAGGCTGCCTCTTGTGCTAGTAGAACCCTTTTTGTCAAAGACCAACCACGAAAGACCAACCACGTTATAGTTGAATTCATTTTCATTTTTTTCTCCATCAGACTTTACACGTGCACAATTTTTCATAAATGGTTGACGGTAAAACGTGAACTCAAATTTGTTCCTGATACTATGCTGGGACAAACTTTATTGAATTGAATTATTTCTTCAACGCAAAATGCTTATAACTTGTTTTGAGTGAAAGACAAGAACTTTTATTGACGCAGACGGAGTTATTGGAATTGGCATTGCTGTGACTGCTGTTGGCATTGCTGTGACTGCCGTTGGACTCTTGGCTGGTGGAATTGCTGCAGCATTGTCATCGAGGAAGAAATGACCTTATCATGACTGCCATTGTACATTTTACTTCTATATGTTTGGATACCTATATAAATCACAACGTTGACTTGTATCTTGTCTTTTATCTTCTATAGAATTTTGAACACACGTTTTTTTTTACCTAAATGTGAGAATTTGTTTATTCAGAATTATTGGTAGTCGATCTTTTAAAATGTTGGTACTAGTTGGAAACCGGTAGAATACAACATCACTGAATATATATTTATACACATTAGTGTGGTCAAACATATTTTTTATCTACACGTTTCGTAGGATTTACTATTACTATTCACTTATTATCCACACGTCATAGGGTCGACAACTTACAATCACTTGTATTTTAGTTTAAACACTTCCAAGCATGCTTAGGAAGTCACCTTCTCTTTAGCCTGATTTGCAATCCACCTTTCATCTTGAGAAGGAGCGATAACACGTAAGGCGGATTTGCCATCCTCTCCCGACACCCACCACCATCAATAGCCACAACCTCAAACTCATACATAACAGCTGCAGCGATAGACTTCATTTGCACATAAGCCATTTCTTTCCCGAGGCATGCCCGAGGCCCACAATGGAACACTGGAAACTTAAACTGATCACGTGGCTGGAAAACTCCGTCATCATCCAGCCATCTCTCTGGCCTGAACTCCATGCAATCGGGACCCCATAGTCTCTTCATTCTCCCCATTGCATAGGCAGAGTAATCAGCAAACCAACCTTTTCCTACATATGTGCCACTGCTTAAGATATCATCAGATATGGTTAATCTTGAATTGATTGGCACTGGTGGAAACAGTCGAAGTGATTCTGATAAGGCTGCATGTAGGTAATTGAATTTCTTCAGATCATCATAACTGAAACTTCCCAGCCGTGCCTCTGAAGATGTGGCCGATAATTCCTCGCAGATCAAGCGCTTGCACCGAGCATGGCCAGCGATTAACCAAAAGAACCAAGTCAGTGCTGTTGATGTTGAATCTTTACCTGCAAACAAGTAACTACTCATAAGACAACTATTTGACAAGCAGCAAATTGTTCTCAATGAATCCAAACTTCTTTACACGAATAATTTTTCTAGTACCCATTCAGTTCTTTGCTATGTTATATGAAAGATCTAAACCAACCAGATCTTTAGCTACTACAACAGATCAAGTTTGTCTACCTCTCCTCCTGACTTCTTCTCCGAGATCGTGGTCTTAGGCTCGAAGCAAAAGATGTCCAATTGCACCAACTCAACTTGTTGGATTATATTCTTAAATGATTATTCATAATGAATAAAATGATTTTGGTCATATGAATGATATATCTATACATGTTAACAGTGAAACCGACGTGTGAAATTTGATGGGATGGATTTTATTGCTTTAAAAAAAAAAAACTTCAAATGCAATGTTTTTACCTGCAAGAATGAAGCTGATCACTATATCCCTCAAGAATCTCCTCCTCTGATCTTGATCAAGAAATCCAAGGTTTGATGCAGAATGCATAAACCTTGATAACAGATCTTGATTTTTCTCTTGTTTGTCGTCGTTTCGACAATTTTCCTCCTTCAATCTTATGATATTCATAGCATACTCATTTATAATTTTAATAGCTTCTTTATATCGTTTTTCACTTCCAATGTTGAGTAGCCTTTTGATCTTCCAAATGACTGGCAAAGGCAGCATGAACCTGTTAAAGCTGACCTCCACAGCATAATCAAATGCCTGAACAAATGAGGAAACCAACGAGGTTTCGCTAACGCTCTTCGAGTCCAGCCACGCAGGATCAACACCAAAGGCAACATTACAAATGTTGTCAAAAGTGAATCTACGCAAAACATCTTGTAGATCAATGACTGCACGATTATCGCAGGCAATAGATAAGTAGGGAATTAAAGAGTTTGAAAGTTGAGATTGGACAGTGTCTGAGATGAAATGCTTGAGTGATCTTGTGTTGAATTCGTGGCTGGCAATCTTGCGCTGGGTAAACCAAAGCTCGCCATCCACATTGAAGATTCCGTGTCCAAGGAGGTCGTGAAGGATGGACTGGAACCTGGTGCCTTTCACGTAGTTTGAGAAGTTGGAGCGGAGGAGGTGGTCGAGATTAGCAGGGTTTGCCGTGCAAATTCCACAGGAGAGGCCGAGAAAACCATTAACTTGGATTGTGAGCGATGGGGTCGTCGAAAGCATGTCAGCAACCCAGTCATGGAAGCGGTGATGATTACGGAGGAAACCTACAAGGTTTCCAACTAGAGGATATGATTGAGGGCACGGGTTTTTATTGGGAGGGCCCGAGTAGCACCGGAAGATGAAGTATGCAAGAGAGAGGAAGGTGAAAGTTAGAGAGAGGAAAAACAAAGAAACATTGCTGAGATCCACCATTTATTCTCTTTTCGGTCAGTAGCTGATAGTGTATCAAAACCTGTAAGACGAGAGAAGATTGGTTATCATCATCTTATGTTCTTAAAAAAATGAGCTTTGCTATAAGTACAGGAATTCACTTACAGAATAGACACAACAATTGGGGGGAAACTTTTTTGTTTTCATTATTTTATACATGGGGTCCATTCTATGTGAGTGAGAATTCAAATTCCTGATAAAGTTCTGGTAAAAAATAATCTGTACTTCAATCATTTTTCTAAAAAATTTTGCCTCTTTCTCCCTTCAATCCAGTTTACTACTAGATCTACGTACGCTTAGCAACTACAACAGACCTACTCATCGCTCTTGCACGTTTGGCAAAGCTTATAATTGTTTATAAACTGGTCAAACTTTATTTTGATCCAAACATTCCATAGAACCCACAACTCTTACCTATACTGTCACCACTTACTATCCAGTATCCACCCATTTCTTCGGACAAAAAGGTGCAATGGGAAAACCACTGAGGAAGTTGAAAAATTAACCAGAAATTCAAAAGCACTAATTCCGACTGACAATCTAAACCTCGCGTTGACCTTATACATTTCACATCTTAATTGTACTAAAATCACAGACAACGTAAAACACGCTGATGAAGCCGGAAAAAGGATTAAAATTCCCCCAGAGGTTCCCATTCCCAGGTGAGCAAAAGCAAAGTTACAATTCTCTAGAAACGATTATTCTTTTCCAATTTCCACACACAAAACTGATCAATTTTTCGATAAATATATCAAGGAAATTTACTTTTTCGTTTTTCCAGTTCTTTTCCCTTTTAATCAAATGGCTGGAGCATCAGCAAATGGAAAATGCTCAAAAACATATATAATCGAAGAAATAACATAAATATATTAACAACGAACAGAAGAGGCAAACGTTGAATCGAACCTGCTGAGCCTCCTGAAGATTTGTGATAAGCTTTGAACAATTGGAAGATTGAACATCAAAATTTGACTTTCTAATTCAAGGAAATGGTGTTGAGTTAATAAGAATTTGATTCATCAAGTAATTTCTGGAGTCTATGATGAGTTTGATTGGAAATCCTTTCATTGTGATTTTAAAACTGGTAAATTATATTATCGGTCACTCAACTTTAATCCATATTACTATTAACTTACTAAGAATAAATTAAATTCAAGATTAAAATGATTTTTCCCCAATTCATTCACGCAACCTCCTGACCCAACCGGAACCCTAAAAATTATAGGAAAGTTGGAGGTGAGTTTGGTACATCGGATTAGGTCGTATAAGCAATTTAGTGTAAAAATATAATAAATAACAATCATGCTATATGTACAATGATAAGTACAATTGTAAATTTTACAATCTCTCACATTAGGGTGTGACCCATTAAATTATTTTTCACGTTAGGGTGGGGCCCACTAGTCTTACCATAATTTACAATATCTTAATCATTGTACAATTGGATTTTTCCAATAAATAATTTAGATATGACGATATTATGGTGAATTAAGATATATAATATTTTTTTAATTTTCCATTCAAAAGATATTCATTTGCACTGCGAATATAACATAATATGAAGGTTGGAGGTGGTTTTAGGTCGAATGAGAAAATATATAGTAATCGAAATTATTTGAATGAAAAATCAAAAAATATTATCCACCTTAATTTCCTATACTGGTAATATTCATTATGATTTTGCCCTAATTTTCTTACACGGACCCCACTCCTTCTCCCATTTTCTCGATAAACCCTAATTGCAAATTCACTTGGACATGGTGGACCCATTGGCCGACGAAAGGAAGAAACCCCTCGAGATGATAATGGTGGTGGTTGTTGATGGCGATTGTTGTTTATTAAATTATTTTCAGGTATTTTTCATCTTAAAAAGTGTATCTTTTTTCGGGATTTGCATCTATAGATTTTGATTGTTGGTGGAGATCACAAAACCAGGGATGGAAAATCGCTCAATTGGATTCTAACCAAAACGAATCAAGAATCAATGGTTCTCCATCTGTATAGAACCAGAACCAAATTATTTGGTACAGTTTGGTTTCATTTGGTTATATAGCCTAATTTTCGAATTATAAATGCAAATTAATGTTCTATCACCACAAGTTAATAATGTATACCTCCAAAATAAAATAAAAAATAAAAATAAATAAACATCATTCGATGAAAATATTGTGTAATAAAATTCATTCGCCAAGCTAGTTTGAAAACAAAAGCGTCAAGTTCCATCTCCATACAGAATATTATCTATTAACGATGATTCATTAATGTAGACAAATGACGAAAGTTAATAATATCAAGTTCCATCTTTATGATCCGCCCAGTTGATTCCTTTACATGAGTCCTCCAAATCTACATGAAAAAATGAAATGTAAAATATAAAGTTAAAAGTAATACAAGTAAAATATTTTTATGGTATTAGTTAGTACTTACGAATCATTTAATCGTCCATGCTTGGGTTGTAGCAGTGAGAAACTCTACCAAACATAATCGAAAGGCACAATTAAAATAAACCAGTTTCAAAAAATCGGCCAAAAATTCACGGTGGTTTCAATTTGGTTCGGTTGTGTTTCAAAACCAAACTTTTGAGGAAAAAAAAAAAGTTTAGTTCATTGAAAAAATGAAAATAAGATCCTGTTTGTTTTCCATTCTCTCCATTTTTGGAAAAGAAAAATACTACCATTGCAGGGCCCCACTTTGACGAAATTGTTGACTTTCATCTCACATTATTCTTGAAATTGGTGCTCCAACGATCACAAAATTCATTTTCTACAGCTAAAAAATGGACAGCAACACAGAGACTAAGTTAATTACTTAACTGGGTTCTGAAGAAATATTGAAACCTCAAAAACATATATATGAAAAGGAAATAGTTCCAATGGTTATGGATCTAGAGAACCGGAATTGGAACTGATCGATTTTAAGTTCCAAGAACCAGAACCATTTGAAAACATGCTCAAAATCAAATTGAACCAAATCGATCGATTTGGTTTTAATGATTGTGGTTCTTTTGCATAAAATCATAACCTTTGCCTTCAAATTTCGATGTTTCTGAAAGTAGTAGTTTTCCAAGATTGCGACTTCTGACAACGAAGTAACGATGATGACTTTTAAGAGATAACAGAGCACCCGAGGTCCTGATCGCATGGTTGTAGGGTACGAGGAGCACTATAGAAATATATGGATTACATTTAAGAATTTTACCAAAAAAGGGGGAAGGAAATGAGATTAAGGAGCAGTTTAGAATGCATATTTTTCTAAGGAAAAATAAGAAATTTAATTTGTACTTGAATTTCCGTGAAGGAAACTTTAAGGATTTATTTTTGTTTAGTTATATTATGAAAAAGGCATTATTAGTGGAGAAAATGAACAAATGCAGTATTTTATAATGTTTAAGCGGGAAACTTTTGGGATTTGATGGATTTCAGTGGTTAGAATTTGAGTGTGGAAAGTAATACAAATGATAAAGGCGATTGCCCGCTCTTCCTCACATAAAATACATTTTTGTAATGGTGTCCAATCTAACATACTAAATATGTTCTAACTGATAAAGGTAATAATTCACGCTTCCTTTGTCACGTGAATCACAATCACTCTTCTTTATTCATGTCTAGTCTAACGTATCAAACATATTCTATCTGAAAAATGTGAGCTTACGCTCTTCTTTTGTTCCATAAACCATTATTCTTTAATAATGTCTAGTCTAATGTATCAAATATGTCCTAACTGATAAAGATGATTGTTGTCACTGATAGTTTTGATTGCCGACCAATGAAATAATGATCAAAGGAGAGGGGAAAAAAAAAAAGCCTAAAAGCTTCTCTTTCGTTATTGAAGTGGGATTATCTTGAAATAGCCTATTCGATTTGATTCTAGTTATTTTTGGTCTACTTCCGAATCTTCGAATCGAGAACTGGATAAATTTGGTTTAGTTCTCAAATCTTGTTAGCATCGAACTTCAATTTGGCTCTACTTTTCTATAGTTTCTCAATTAGATCATAATTAGGAAAAAATAAATTAATATATTTATAATAATCAATAACTTCACGCCTAAAATAGAAAGTAAGAAGAAAATTTACCCTACAATTTATGTTAAAAATGTAACATAGTGTTTTTGTAATACATATAAAACATTTTACAGATTTATTCGTGTAAACTGACGGGCCTCTATTGTGGCTAAGGCCCATTTATGTAACTAGCCCGTAAAATATTTGAACTGGGCCAAACAGGCAGCCTGGCCCAACAAAACAGCCCTCGCATTCAAATATGCGCCTAAACTGCTCTCACACAAAGCAGTGAATTTTTGATCGGTCAGTTCAACGCCAGGAAGGTAAAATTAAGTAATTCTTGATGTATATATTTTAGAGTAAATTTAATAAATGCTCACCGAAATTTAATCTATATTACTACTTGCTCATTAAACAATAAAATATAATCCGTTGATCACCCATCTATCCAATATCTTACCTATCCATCACCTGCCTTACCTCCGTTATCCCCAACTAACGGAATGTGCCACGTTATGGACATAAATCCGACGTAGCACATAACAGAAGTGAAATCAAGCCAAATGGACCAAAAGTGCAAAAAGGTCCCGTGTATTGATAACACGCTTTTCAATCAAAAGTTTTAAATTGGGTAAATCCACCAATGGTCATCCAATTTTATACTTAATGTCACCATGACCACTCAATTTGATTTTATTTTATCATGACCATCCAATTTCAATAACGTTTCATCGTGATCACCCAATTTCTTTTCATCATTTCCATTAATTTTAAAAAGGGTGAAACAGTAATTTTGTATTATATATATTTAAAATAAATTTTTTTTAAAAATAAATAAACAAGTCTTTTTTTTTAAAAAAAAGTTTATTTTAAAATAAGTTTTTATTTTACTTTATTTAGAAAACTTTTTTTTTAAAATAACTTTTTATTTTATTTTCAAAACATTTTTAAAATAAGTTTTATTTTATTTTATATATATAATGCAAAATTACCGTATTACCCATTTTAAAATTAGTGAAAATGGTTAAAAGAAGTTGGGCGATTATATGAAATTTGACGGTCATAGTGAAACGTTATGTAAAATTGTGTGGCAATAGTGAAATAAAATCAAATTAGGTGGTCATTGTGACACTAAATATGAAGTTCAGTGGCTATAATGAAATAAAATTAAATTGAGTGGTCAGGATGACAGCACGTATAAAATTGGATGACCATTGATGGATTTAATCCGTTCTAAATCGAAACGCAACTTTACCCCCAAATCCATGAAGAACCCTAAAATTCGTCACCAAAATCCCAGCTGAAATCTTGATGTCCGGAGACTATACACGCTAACTATTGACTCCAAAGAGAGGCTAATTAGTTGGTAGCATGATTTCTTTATTCGAGAAAAGACAAGATAAATAAGGAGCTCGACATTTTGAATGAAATGAAAAGTGGAATATAATGCTCCACTAGGCACCCACAACAAAGCAAAAATGGCATTTTGAAAGAAGTGGAAAGTGGAAAAGTAAACTCCACTCTGCATTTTGACTCCAAAGAGAGGCTGATTAGTCAGGTGAATTTTTTATTTTTTTTTGGTCCCCTCCAATTCGAGACTAATAATTAGCAATACCAGCATAAACTCTTATCAGATTATTCATTCAAGTTGTTTTCCTTTCTTTTTTTCCCTCAGAGAGAAAGCACCATAGGAGATTCTGGGGGTGCTACTGACAGGAATGGGATCACATTCTTACAAAAATGGATAGAATGAATGCAAAGAAAAGTATCTTTATTATTGATGCCACAAATAGGCTTGATATGATAGATCATGCAGTTCTTCATCATGGACGTCTTGATGAATTGATTTACATCCCTGTAGTAGGAAAATTATCTTCATGATTGGAGCCACCATGTTAACATTTTTCCCTGAAAATTGGTGGCTTGTGTTCTATGTGCATTGAAGCTATAAATTAATGGAATTGAATTTAATCCTTCACGTGTTTTAGTTTTAAATGTTAATCTTTTATTGTGTTTTGTAAAAGACAATTGTACCAAGCATTAAGACGCTTGCTGATGCACTCTGGAGCATCAACTATCAGGATGCAACCTGATGCATGCATTAGAACTCTGATGCATTATATGTGTCTGACACAAAATCGGTGTTTAGCCTTCGGATATAAATCTATCACATTCTGTAAACCATTTTGCCTATTAGTCATAAAAGTCCATTCATTACTATTCATAATCTTCAAAATTTTCAGTATTCATGGCAATCATAAATGTAGAATCGGGATTGATTCTCGAAATTTTAGCAATAAAAGTCCTAAGCAAGCTAAACTGGGGCTCATTAGAGCCCCCTATTAATATCCTAGCATATCTTCTATAGCCCTAACGTCACTGATTGTCAACTTCAAATCATGCTTCACAGCCTTCTTAATCGATCTAGTCTTCCAATCGAGATCAACTTTGAAAGTCTCTAAATACTTCTTAGCCATATATCTATCAGCACAATGCCTATTTGTTCTGTCTCTTTTACATGTATGCTCTGAATTCTTAGATTTTATTTACACGCAACCGACCACCTTATTCAACGATGCCCAAATCCTGAATTCACAATTGTCACTTTTTGCATATGGCCTGTGCCATCTCATTATCATTCAGCTTAAACCTACCTAAACCCGCGGACGACAAGTTCTACCTTGTTGACTCAAGATTTATACACTATCCGGGGTATATAC